ATCCAGCAAATTTCATTTAGAATGGAAGGGCAGATAAAGTGCTTCTCAGATAAGGTCAAGGTAAAGGAGTTCATTACCACCAAGCCCTTATTATATGAAATGTTAGAGAGACTTATCTAAGAAAAAGATCAAAAATATGAAAAGTAAAATAATAACAAACTCACAACTATCAACAACTGAACCTAAAATTAATTAATTAATTAATTAATTAATTAAGCAAACAACTAGAACAGGAACAGAATCACAGAAATGGGTATCACATGGAGGGTTATCAGCAGAGATGGGGAGGGGGGATGATGGGGGAAAAGACATAGGGTATAAGAAGCATAAATGGTAGGTACAAAATAGACAGGGGAAATTAAGAATAGCATATGAAATGGAGAAGCCAAAGAACTCGTGTGTATGACCCATGAACATGAACTAAGCAGGGGAGTGATGGAGAAAATGGGGGTACCATTCAGAGGGGGATAAAGGGGAGAAAAAAAGAATGGGACAACTGTAATAGCATAATCAATAAAATATACTTAAACAAATCATTATCATATATCTAATGACATGAAGACCACATTACTTCATTGATTATTAGAAGAGACAGATGGCAAATTATATAGCAATGTTTCATAGTTAATAGATACTATGCAGAGCATGCCTTGCAAAATCTTAGTCATAGAAACAAATAATCTTATTCCTTTCCATGAAGGTACAATGTCCTAGCTGTGGTTTAAACTCTGAAGAACTAACTTCAGTGCTAAGATAATAGAATTACACATTCCACAAGATAATATAACACATGTCAAACTACAGCATTAAAAAGGAATCAGTTAAACCATGCCACAAAATGCACCGACTACTAGGGGCATAAAAGCCGTTAAAAGTCAATATAACACCATAGGGAAGTAACTGATTAAAAACAAACCTGGGTTCAAAACTAAGCTTTGCCACTTACTACCTATGTAAACAAAACATGTCTTAGTCTCCCATAGCCTCAGTTTCTTCTCCTATAAAACCATAATAATAACATCTAGGGTTGGGATTAAATGAGATAAGATTTTAAAATACAAAGTAGGAGGGATCACCCTTGATATCAAACTATACTGTAAGCCCACAGTAATCAAAACAGTCTGGTACTGGCATAAAAACAGATACATATATCAATGGAATAGAATAGAGAGCCCAGAAATAAACCCATGTCTATATGGTCAATTAATATATGACAAAGGGGCAGGAGACAAACATATACTTTGCTTTTACTTACTCTAGTAAAGAATTGGTAGAGGAAGCATTTTATTTTATTTTATTTTATTTTATTTTTATTGTTGTTAATTTTATTATCTATGATGGTACAAACTCTAAGAAGTTGGGAAAATCATTGAGTTTTATAGTACTATTTTCAGAATACAAAATAAGTTTATATATGCAGTCATTGTAATTTTTCAAAATTCCATTTGATTCAGGCTGTCCCCTATTGTTTAGATATTAATTTGCACTGACTGCAAACCTGTAATGGCAGAACAGTTTTCAATAGTGCTAAGCCATAAATTAGATGACATTCCACTGGAAAAACACCAATAATTCACATTTGAGTTTCTAGTAGTTATTACAGATTTGATGGTCATTTAGGTCCATATATCTTAATGTATTTCACCAGGCTCCAAACTAGTCCCACATACTCTATAGTATCTACAGGTATGATCCACCCTCCTGTTAGGATTGTATCATGTCCTTAGAAGCATTTTTTTAGCCTATTGTGGAGGTTTATGTGTTTCTTTACTTGATTATAAAACTTTTTGTTTCCTGTAACTGGTTATCTTTGACACATAGTTAAGCAGATAAAGCAGAATGTTTTAGCCTGCTCTAACATACAAGTCTCTGTGAAACCATGCTTGGCACATGTCAGGTGACAAAGAGAATATCTAAGGTATATACTGCTGTGCGGTGTAGTGGATGTGTGTGAAGAAGCTTTCAATCTTAACTGTATAGTGTTAGTGTGCTGCTATACTATTTGGAAGAATACCATTTTCTATTTTGTAAGTTGTATGCATGAACATAAGATTTGTAATGTTTCACTTGTAAACTGCCTTCTTCAACACATGCTTATCTGTTAATAGTGTTTTCTTGAAATATAGTAGTATGTATTCTAGAATTTCACCTTACTAAATAGTTCCTAGGTAACTGAAATGTTAAATTCCTTGTTGGTTTCTTTTTATTCTGAGGGGCATGTAGCAAGCCTGAAGGAAATTGTAATCATTTTTTTACAGGGTGGAAATTTAGAAAGATTATGTATGATAGCCTAATTAGTTATTGTATTCATTATTGTCTTTGGGTAAAACTTTCTTTTTTTATACAAATACTACTTCCAGTTAATGCATTTGGTTCTACTGACTTTTCAGGGACCAGAAAACTTTAAAGAAAATGTTCTGCATCTTAGAATTGTAACTAATGAAGTATTGGCTTGGGATTGTTCTGAAGTGTTCACTGCTCAGAAACTACTGTAAGTAACAGTTGGCAAGATCTCTAAACAGAAGGTTCCATGTTAAAACTTTTGCCTGAAGCATTTGTATGTGTTTATGGAAAGCACATTAAAACAAAAGAAAATTTAAGGTGGCCCAAAATGAAAGCTACAAAAATTGCTTCTATTGTAATTGACTGGGTCCACCAAATGCTTCTCTGAAGAGCAGGAAATTCTCTTGCTGAATTAACAGTTGTGTTAAGTGTCAATAACTAAACAAAACACACATACCCTGTTAAATGAAAGGGGAAAGGAAATTAACATTTATTGAGTGCCTGCTACACTAAGCACTGTGCTGGGCGCTTTAAATATATATAACCTTACTTAATTCTCACAACACTATTAGGTAAATATTACTCTACTCATTTTATGGCTGAGAAACTTCAGCCTCAGAGGTTACAAGTCATCACAGCTGGAATGCAAGTACGTGTAACTCAATTTTCTCTGGCTTTCCCCATACTGCACCACACTACTTTTAGAAATTCCCTAGTGAGTTTTCTAGTTACTTCTATGTTTCAAACTTCATTTTCTTCATTGGTAAAATAAAGACTTGCTTCTAAGGTCCAGACTAACACTAAGATTTTATGAAAACCATGATTCTTGTGGGACTCAATACAAATACATCAATAAGTAAAAGAGTAAGTGCTCAATACGTAATATACCAAGAACTGTAGGGAAAAGTTCACAGAAAAAAAGAAATTAAAACTGCCTATGAACAAAAGAAAACCTGCTTAACTTCACTCCTAATTTAAGAAGTAAAAATTATGACATGGATGATTTGCTATTTAAATCCCTGCAATGGGCAAAAGTTATGGGAACTCATATAAATTTTAGGTGGCACTATAAATAGACACAAACTCTTTGGAAGTCATTTTGGTAATATCTATCAAAATTATAAACATATGGCACATTTTATGTAGAAATTTCACTACTAGATATTACCCTACAAATAGATCCCATGTGCAGAAAGGTACATGCAGGTACATGTTTACTGAAGCACTGCTTGGAATAGCAAAGGATTTGAACTAATATAAATATCCATTAATAGGGAACTGCTTAAATAAATTAAAATAAGCCCAGACCACAGAATTGTATGAAGTATATAAAAAGAACACATGATGAAAATATAAGCTGTTATGAAATAATATCCAAGGACATAAAGTGAAGACAGCAGGAGGTAAAAAAAAAAACAAAAAAGAGAAATACTTATATGCTTCTGGAGGCATAGAATATTTCTCATAGGCAATGTGACAAATTAGTAAGAGTGGTTTTCTCTGGGGAAGAGGCTGTAAGAGTTTAATTGAAGTGTTATGTTTACCATGCATCTTTTCTTTCTTTTTGATGATATGAATACCTTAGCACAAGCACATTTTACATTTTCAATTTTAAACAGTTTAAAATAAATAATAATCTCTGGAGTCCTTGAAAAACCCTTTAAATGTGAGGTCTACTGTAGCAAAGAAGAAAAGAAAGACCTAATGACAGAATTTTTTTTAAATCTCAAAATTCTTCAGAATAATCTAATCACCACAGATTTCACTGTGTATGTGAACTTCAATTTACAAGGAACAAAAAATATAGCATAGGCACTTCCACAGTGCAAGATGTGATAGAAGGGCTAAAAAGGAATAATTTCTCCATGTCTCCGTCTCCCTCTCTCTCCCCCTACCCCTCCCTCTCCCTGTCTCTGAATCTTCCAAAATGTACATTTTCACATACTAGGGCACGTAGTGAGGAATGATAAAGGTGCTCATTCCAAGGGCATGGGAATATGGAATACATAAATTTCTTAGTTGTAAAGACTCATTCAGACTGAAATAAATCCTATGCTTAACTAAACTATAAATTATGCAATAACAAGTAAAATAGTAATGTTAATATAAACTATTGAAAATTCAGAAACCACAATGTTTCATTGTAAGACTGACAGGTCACCTCTATAACACAGAATTTATGTCTGACATTCATAAAAGCCTAAAGATCTAATCATAAACAAGGCACTCTATTATGAAATCAGTAAAACAGACTTATTAGGTACTAGAGTTTGATATTATTCCAGAAAATCTGCTTATAGAAATTATAAACTTTCTTAGGAAACCGAACTGATCAGTAGCACAAATGTAACAGGAAAGACAATTTAAGACCCATGGCATCAACCCTATTCCAACTTCACGAAACCTTTAAGCCATTAGTATTGTTACATTATTTCTAAAATGACAACTTTATAATACATGAATAAATAACACATACTAAATAATAAAAATAAAACCTATATTTTCAGATGAATAACATTTATGCAAAAGAAAATGAAGTGGAAAAAGAGCTACCTTCTTTAGTTGCTAGGTAAATACAGTTAATGTATTAATCTACTCATGTTTGACTCTGTCCACTGTGGAAGGATGACACATTTATACATTAGTAGAAACTGTAGTAAAGCAGTGGCTTCAATAAATCCAAATAAAAAATTTATATTTAAAAGAGTAAAATGTACCTTTTATCTGGGTAGCAAAATTCAGTGCCAATTTTGCAAAGAGATCTGGATTTTCAAACTTGTCCTCCTTAACCTTTAACCAGAAACAATTCTCAGACAATTCTCTGGGTTCAATCTGAAACAAAAATAACAAATACAAGTTTCTAAAATATTACTTAATATTCAATTTTTCAAAAATTCACTTTCACCAACGTTGAATGATAGTTCCTTTATTCATTTACCTACGAAATCAACTTTAGAACCTATCAAAATAACACTTTTTAAGTAAATATTCATTGGGAAAGGCACAGAATTCTGTAAGTATATAGAAAGGTATATGATAGCAATAGCATATCACAAATTACATTTAAAAAATCTTTCACTGATATTAAAAATCTTCTATTGGAATGAACATTAAAAAATAATTTAGTAAATCCCTCCCTAACTCACATACATTCTTCTTGTTCCAGGATTTTTAAAAATGGGAAAACTGATATTCAGAAATAGGAAATCCCCATGTTTACTGACTAGATTGAAGGCAATAACCATAATAACAGTTTATTTGCATATATCAACTAATTTAATCTAATCTTCACAATTCTTTGAGGTGGGAGCTACTCTATCCATGTTAAATGTGAGGAAACAGAGCCCCAGAAAGCTTAAGTGGCTGCACAAGCTAGTATATAGCAAAAATGGGATTTAAACCCAAGCAGTGTAGCTCCAGAGAACTATGCTCTTAGCCACTACACTGAAAACCAAGATTAGAACTGTACATTTTCCAGGATATCATGAGGACACCTAAGTATCATTACACTGCATGTTAAATTGCTAAATTAATATACCATTGCATTTATACAAACAAATGACTGAGCCAACAGCTTTTCAACCCAATAGTTTGGTAGATTGTGCCTGTTTTTTTTTCAAATGCATTGTACATTCCAAAAGCATTTATACTCGTTTACGTTTATGAAAAAGGCATTAAGTAAATAATTAACTTTAAAACTGATTTAACCATTATCCCGGTCAAAACAATTTATTATGCAGATACTGTCAGATTTCACTGCATATTCTTAGATGAGTCACTTCCCCAAATGGTAGTCTACAGCTAGACAAAGCCAAAAACCTCAAGTTGTAAGATTACCTTTAACCAATTGATTCTCTTCATGGGGATCTCAGGTTTATATATTTTTTTCTGCTTCATTCCATAAGGCAGATCAATTGGTGCTCCTGGAGGAGGAGGAATTCCTCCAAGGGGAGGTGGTGGAGGAGGTCCTCCAAACAAAGGTGGTGGTGGTGGTATACCACCAGCTACTCCAGGTAAAGGAGGAGGAGGAGGGGGACCTCCTACAGGTAGAAATGGTGCTGGTGGAGGTGGTGGTGGGGGTGGCCCAGCACCTGGCAATGGAGGTGGTGGAGGGGGGCCTGGAATTCCTGATACAGCTGAGAATCCATTTCCCTGAAAGATAAAAAAAAATGTTTAAATGCTTGTAAAATATTGCAGCAAAGAAAACTTATCAGGAGACATCTGTACTTTAAGATTATAAGCACTTTATTTAATTGAGCAACATTTAACGGCTTAACAATACATGAAAAAGAGTTGCATAGATTTTTGGTAAGCATTATAAATTCTGGCCATTGACTAATTTGCTAATACTCATGCTAAGAAAGTTGGCATCCTGAAAGATTTTGTGAAACACTTCCCCAAATTAATGAAAATAATCACCTCTCAATATAACTATATGCAAAGAAGAAGTGTTATACAAGTTCTGTCCAGAAGGTATCCAGCCACATAATATAAAAAATAGAGACATTTATTGAAGAAGATACAAGAAACACTGTCCATAGGACAATGATGCCTCTGTCCCCTTCAAAGTAGGCACTTTGAGACCTCACACCGTTCTCCCAATTGCCATCAGCTGCCCTGTCATATTTTCCTGAATCTTATCAATGGTCTGAAATCTCTTTCCTTTCAAAGGTGATTTTAATTTTGGGAAAAGCTAGAAGTTGTGGGACACCAAATGTAGGTTGTAGGGGGGCTGAGTCACCTGAGTGATATGATGTTTCACCAAAAACTCTGCACCACACATGATGCATGGGTGGGCACACTGTACTATTAAAGCTGCCAATCACCAGGTGCCCAGAGTTATGGCCATTTTTCATCATATTTTATCTCTGCATTCATTGCATCATGCCTGAAAGCCTTCTGAATCATCTGAATAGTTTCTGTGGAGGGATATTCAATCTTAATGAAAAATTTGATGCAGATTTGTTGCTCTACTTCGTCAGTCATTTTGAATATGACAGCCACACAGTACACATGCTCACTCAACAGTGTCTACTGCCCCCACTGACTAATGCAGTGAAGTCGCCATTATTCACACATGTGCGTTCCAGTCCACTCTCCTTGGCTGCCAGGTTCCACTAATATAGCGCAAACCATTCTCATTATATAAACAATGTCTGGACTTTTTCTAGACAGACCTCATATATGGCTTGGGCCTATCAGAGTAGTTAGTTTGAATATGAGATAATTAATACTTAAAAGGTCATACATTTGATTCCATTAGGACATTCAACTTTACACAAAAATAGTCTGAGTACCAGTAACTTAGCTATCTTCTAATACCAATAATTAATAGTAAGTAACGTCCATGTCCCTATTAATAAATGTTCATCAACATTTTTACTTCTATAGGATGTGGCACAAATAATGCTCCTGTTTTTATTAAGAAATCAGAAGCATGTAATTCTGTAGCATACCAATATTATACTCAAGCACACCATTTGACATTTTAGGTGAAATGTTCAAATTGCTGTTGATCTTGTGCAAGACATTCACATACCCTACCAATCACACTCAAGCAAGACTTACTTCTATCAGACCCTGTATTATTTCTTGTCATTCTTATTATAACCCTATAATGTAGGTAGGACATTTTTATCTTACCATTAACTTGCTGCTTATGGATGACGAAACTATAACTGTAAAAATGTTAAATGGCTAATCAAAGGTCATACAGTCTGAAATATGATTAAAATCTGAATGTGGTTCTCATATCTAATGCAGTCCTCATTCCACCACAGCAGATTGCTTCCTCATGTATGTGTGTCACTGCCATGAGGGGAATTGATTCACTCAGATTGGATTATGAGGAGACTATAACTTATACTACTACCAGAAAGTAACTTCAAACTCATTCTTTAAATGAGGAATGACAAATGAAAGAGAAAATAACATTCCATATTATCTCCTTTTTTGGTGATTAAGTTGTACCTAATTCTTTAAACAATTACTGATTGAAATGATTTACTTTCCAAAATGAATGGAGAAGTAAAGATATTTTTTAAAAAACATTTCTAACAAACTCATACCAATCAACAAACATCTGTAATCAAGACATGACTTTAGATCAACTCAATGAAATTTCTTGATATAGTCATCTTTTTACTTGGAGAGCAAGTCTTCTTATCTTCAATAATAATATGAATTTCCTACTTGGACTATTTAATTGTGCTAAATAAACTTAGAAATATCTTTACAAAATTAATAATTTGAAGCATATTTTTAGAATAACAAACATAAAGGGCCACTCTTTTTATAAGATTATTGAAAATTAAAAATCATGAGTATATATCATGGATAAAAAATCATGGTTAAACATGAAAATGTTTTTCATATTATTCAATGTACATTATCCATATATTATATTCCTATATATAAATGTTTACATGTGTATTTACATACATACAACTAAAGTGTTCATACACAGAACAAATGAAAATCCTTTAGTGTAATGCAATCTGTCCTTAGATTAGAAAGAATAAAAAAGATAGGAGTAAAATGTGTGAAATTCTTTTAATTTTATTTTAATGCAGCAAAATGATAGAAAGCAACATGATTTTTAAAATCTTGATGGAGGTCAAAGAATTTCTGGGGAAAACTAAAATAATTTTTCTGAAAAGTTTGGGAAATTAGTAATTTACCCTACAAATGTACAAATAAATTGATTTGTTAAATAATTTGAAAGGTAAACGTGTACCCCATTTTTATCTCAAGACAGCAAAATTAAGTTCCCACAAAGATGGAGGTATAGGCAGGAATGCTTCCCTTCTTCATACAACCAAAAGAAGGAAAGCAACCAATTTAAAAACAAAAATCAACCAGCACTGCCAGAAAAACATTTGAATGGAAGTCCAACAACCAAGGAGTCAAAGAAACATTCATCCAGATGCTACGAGAGGCAGAGATGGGCAGCTGGGGTAGAGAGGACAGTGGCAAGGCTGTGGCTAGTGGACCACATTTACGCACAGACAAGCTGGGAGGAACAACATGGGAGGGAGACAGACTGCAAAACCCAGTATTTCGGGGCGAGAAACTAAAGACTCAAAACCCTAGGCTGTAAAAAAAATCTGTGGGGGCTATGGAAGCAGGAGAAACTCCCAGACTCACAGGAGAGTTCACTGGAGAGACCCACAGGGTCCTGGAAGGTACACAAACCCACCTACCTGCAGATCAGCACATGATAAGGCATAATCTACTTGTGGGAAGCAAAGGAAGAAAAGGAAGTGACAGAAAGTGGGGAGACAGCCAAGCAAGTGTCATTGTTCCCTCTCTCACCTCTCCACACATACAGTGCCACAACTGCAGCAGAGGGTTGCCTGCCCTGACAAATACCTAAGGCTCCCCCCTTACCACATTAACAGGTGTCCAGAGACAAAGAAATATGGCCCAAATGAAAGAACAGATCAAAACTCCAGAAAAAGAACTGAATGATAAGGAGAAAGACAACCTGTCTGATGCAGAGCTCAAAACACTGGTAATCAGGATGCTCACAGAATTGAGCTCTGTTGCAAAATGAAGGAAGAAATGAAAGCTACACAAAGTGAAATAAAGCAAAATGTACAGGGAACCAACAGTGACAGGAAGGAAATTGGGACTCAAAGCAATGCTTGGGAACAAAAGAAAGAAAGAAGCATCCAATTAAAACAGAATGAAGAAACAAGAATGCAAAAAATGAGGACAGGCTGAGGAACCTGGGGACAACTTTAAGCATTATGACATCAAAATCCTGGGAGTCCCAGAAGAAGAAGAGGAAGAGCAAGAAATTGAAAATTTTTTTGAACAAATAATGAAGGAAAACTTCCCCAATCTGGCTAACGAAAACAGACTTCCAGGAAGTCCTGGAAATCCAGAGAGTCCCAAAGAAGTTGGACCCAAGGAAGAGCACACAAAGGCACATCATCATTAAGTTACCCAAGATTAAAGATAAAAAGAGAATCTTAAAGGCAGCAAGAGGAAAGGAGAGAGTTACCTAAAAAGGAGTGTCCATAAGACTATTAGCTGATTTCTCAAAAGAAACCTACAGGCAAGGAGGGGCTGGAAAGAAGTATTCCAAGTCATGAAAGGCAAGGACTTACATTCAACATTACTCTATCCAGCAGCAAAGCTATCATTTAGAATGGAAGGGAAGGTATAGTGCTTCCCAGATAAGGTCAAGGTAAAGGAGTTCATCACCACCAAGCCCTTATTATATGAAATGTTAGAGACACTTATCTAAGAAAAAGAAGATCAAAACTATGAACAGTAAAATGACAACAAACTCACAACTATCAACAACTGAAACTAAAAAAAATAAATAAATAAAACAAGAAATAAATTAAGCCAACAACTAGAACAGGAACAGAATCACAGAAATGGAGATCACATGGAGGGTTATCAGTAAGGAGGAGAAGAATGGGGGAAAAGGTAAAGGGAATAAGTAGCATAAATGGTAGGGTAGAAAAGAGACAGGGGGAGGTTAAGAATAGTATAGGAAATGGAAAAGCCAAAGAATTTATACGCATGATCCATGGACATGAACTAAAGGTGGGGAATGCTGGAGCAAAGATGGTTGTAGGGCAGAGTGGGAGAAAAGGGAGAAAAAAAGAGACAACTGTCATAGCATAATCAATAAAATATACTTTAAAAAGACAGCAAAATTAAAGTAATACATGTTTGTAAGCATAAAATTTTGTCTAATAACATATCATATGTATGATATGATACATGTGCAACCACTAAAATTTTACTACTCTTTTAAAACAGGATGTTACTCATTAAACACATATATCACAAATTTAACAAAGAATCTCAAACATTTATATTAAATGACACCAGACTTTAAAAATCAATTCATATCAGCTCTTTTATTCTCTTCAATGAACAATTAGGAAAGGAACAATTAAATTAGGCTACGATAAAGTATTGAGAATTAAATATTGCAAATGAATATTTAACACAATTTTGCATGTGCTAGAAAGTACTGTGTGACTCTGCACTTTTATAAATAGTTAATTTAATAATAAATAGCCAGGTACTCAGTAAATTGTAAGGCCTTGTTCTAGGTGCAGTTGGGCCTTGAATAAGTAAGAATAAGTAAAGACACTGTTCTCAAGGTCTTTATGTTCCAGTGGAAGAAACAAAGCTGGCACACAAACAATTATGATATGAGTGGTTTACAAAAGTCCACAGAAATTCCTTAATGGAGTTCTTGGTGAAGCTTTCCAAAGGATATTTTACTAAGATTATCCCTACACAATAAGTTTTGTAGGCACAGACGAACAGTGAAGGATATTTCTGACAGAATAATATTAAATCAGCATTTCTCAACTAAGTTCAATAGATGGTCTAAGATAAAGGGCACTATGGTTAAATGAGTTTTGGAAAGCTGTATGAAAAAGAGGTGGACAGGCTTCTTCATTGTAGGACATCTCGGACCCTTTAATATTATAATGAATATTCTGACCCTCTAAGAGGAGAATTTCAAGTGCACCAAATTTACTAGACTATGGAATGCTTTCCTCATGAAAAATCTATTAGCATCTCTGTAACTAATGTCTGGGAAGTGCTGACAGGAAGAAGTGTGGAGACAGTAAATTCTACATGTGAAGGGAGGAAAGGTGACTTAGCTGCAACAGTGGCTGTAGTTAAGGGAGCAGACAGAGAGAGTCAGCTGCAAAGGGGAGATAAGGGAGTCCATGATAGAAGGCCTCCAAACTCCTGGTAGGGAGATTTCTATTTAATCTTGAATGCAACAGGCAACCACTAAACATATTAAAGCCTAGAGTGACAATAATCAGGGCAGTATTTTAGAAAGGTTAATTTGCCACTGACAAAAAGGATGAATCTGAGAAGGAAGAGAATATAGTCAGGGAGAAAAGTTAAGAAACAGTTGTAATATATGAGGCAGGATGTAATGAGAATGACGCTGAGTGGTTCTGGGTTTTGGTGCAAGGAGAAAAGTTGGAGCAAGAATTGTCACAAAACAATGACCAGTTAAATTGTCAGGTGGCAGCACAGGGACAAGACCATAAAAAATAAAAATTAAAATAAACCCTCTAGCTTCTTGATCAAAAAAAAAATCAAGCTAAATTTAAACAAATAAGAATGGAGATTATGCTGATTTGATTTCAACATTCATGTGGAAAGATAATCAAGAGCTAGAAATATAAGACAACCTCAGGAGACCTGACACCTTCTAAAAGATGATATTTGAATTATAATACTGAATGGGATATTAGTACAAGGACATACAGAGAAAAAAAGCAAAGGATAGGACATTGGGGAATATCACCATTTGTGGGTCAAAAACAAAGAAAAACTAAGTTCTCAGAGATATAAAAAGAAATCAGATGATAGCAAAAAGAGAGAGAGAAGGGGGTAGAGGGAGAAAGACAGAGAGAAAAGAGACCCTGACTGGTATGGTTCAGTGGATTGAGTGCCAGCCTGCAAACTGAAAGGGTGCTAGTTCAATTCCCAGTCAGGGCACATGCCTGGGTTGCAGGCCAGGTCCCTGGTTGGGGGCCTGTGAGTGGCAACTGATTGATGTTTCTCTACCTCTTTTTCCTCCCTTCCCCTCTCTCTAAAAATAAAAATAAAATCTAAACAAGAAATAGGAAAGATTTAGTGAAAAGAAATGATCAAATATACATGAGTAAAACAGGCTATGTATGGGTAAGAAGAGGCCACCACTTTGGGTAATTTGAAGTTTTCTGATGACTTTGAAGTCATTTTTCAGTATGTTGATGGAAATAGATCTAATCAATCAACCAACACCTCAGCATCCACTATATTAAGAAATTATCTTACATTTCTTAATATTCATTTAAAACATAAAATATGCTGAGAGTACTTAATCACTTCTTAAGTTTAAAACCATAATTAATATTTCAAGTATACATGGGATCTTTTCACCATAGCAAATATAAATGTAAAGGTAAAAAAAGTTGATAGGTTTTGAAATTATGGTAGTTGAGATTTAAAGTGATTTTAAAAAGATTTAGGGATTATTAAACTTAAGGAGCACTTCCATGTTACTTTTAAAGGAAAATAAAATAATATCCATCTAACTTTTCAAATTATCATGAAAATTTCATCTCAGGAACAGCTTTGTTTTTGTAATATATTCCATTAACGATATTCAGGACAGTTTAAGCAATGATTGCCTTATTTTTATCCCAGTGTTAAAACAATTTATTTTCCTGGAAAATCAAATCTTTAGTTATTTCAATGAAAATGTGACCCTGCCAAAATCTGCTTCAGGTCATATTTTTCCTTCCATCTAACAAGATAATTTTCTACCATTGAACTTACTGTGTGACATGACAGAAAGTCTATATCTTTGTTCATTACCTGGGTTCGAAGTTGCTGGATTTCTGTTTCAAGCTCTTTAATTTTTTCTTCTCTTTTCTGAAGCTCAGCCTGAGCTTCCTGTCGAGCTGTGAATTCTTCATCGAACTGCAATGATCACCACCATAAAGGTACACTTAATAATACAGTTTTGAGAAAGCTTTAAACAACATTAAGTATTAAATAAGTGGAGTGTCTCTTGATTCACTGAATTCCATGTCACTAAAAAAATCAGAGCTTAATTAATTTCATGACACTTGAGCACCCCTGTGGGAGTGGGGTATTGCTGTGGTGATAGAAGAAATACGCCCCCAACCCAAGGTAAACAAACTGCATTTTTACTCCTGAAAAAATATGAAACAAAGTTTCAAAAGGGTGACCTGAGGAGTCTATCTTCATATGTAACAGATCTCTTTTTCTGTTATTGAATGTCAGTTTTTATAATTATTCATATTTTAAATGTTTCATCCCATACCTTCAAATTTATGTAATAAGCAAATGAAACCTAACAATTACCCATCAAAAAGTTCTACTGCTTAACTATATTTAATCTTGAAAAGGGACTGAACTTTTTAGAATGTTCAACTGGATGGATGTACATTAAAACAAATTAGAATATTTCCACTATAATCTTAATTGTCTAGCATCCAAAAAGTAGTGCTCCTAGAAATCTGACAAAATGATATATGCCATAATGGCATTCTCCTCCAGGGGGTTAACTAAAACACTTGACTAACATGTTGCAAGAGGGAAAAGAAAAGGTTACATTAAAGTAGGCTAAGCCAGAGACCATCTGAATGGTGAATATCCACTCACTGCATCCTGCACATCTTACCCCAGTCAGGGATGTACGCAGACTGAAACATGCCTGCATAGAGTGAATACTGCTCATGTCCAGCTATAGAACATTTGCTGCTGTCGAGACCAAGTCATTTTAGAAGTCTATACATTATTCCAATGATATTATTTCTGTCTGTAAGAGTGATAACTTACCATATAAAATTGTACTTAGGCACAGTGAAACAGTAAAAAAGTATGCTCACTACTAATATTTATCTTTACAGTAGAGTTACCTTTACAAATTATAAAATGCCACTTAGATCAAAGTCTGAAGAAAGAGTGGGTAAGCAAGTTGGATAATCACAGTATTTGGGTCAAACCTGAAACAGTTAATTCTTTAAATCATTTCTACTTGAGACCAAGGAAACTGTCCTGCACGTGCGGTCCAAATCCTCTCTAATCACTTTAAATTTCAAACCCAACCCAGGACCTCCATAGTCAGCAAATGACTTTGTTTCCTAGTTCACTTAGAAGATGGAGCTTTTCTCACTTCACTACTATCAAAGTTAAGATTTATCTGATTCTGTATTCCCATCCTCCCTCTGAAAGTTAACTTCCCAGTGCTTCTCAATCATGGTATCTACACCAGCGCACTGTACAGTTTTCCTCTACAAAGTATTTATTTGTTAGTACTTTTGAAGAGAGGCACACAGCATTACTGCTTGAAATGATCTTCATCTGTAAACCCACAGAAAGAATCAGAGAAGTCTGAGATATGCAAACTACAAGACTTGAGGGGAGACTTCCTACAAATCCACTAAACTTAGGCATTCTTTTTAATAACAAAGAGACTAATTATCTAAAGCAAGTTAAGTGGCTTACTTAAAGTCACAGCTAATTAATGGCAAAGCCAAGATCAGATCTTACAACTTTCTCATTCTAGTCTCCCAACTGTCTCTTTTAAACTGCTTTATACTGTCCCTTAAAATCAGCAGAATAAAACAAAGCATTCAGACAACCACTGAGAGACCATACATGTTTTCATTCTAAATGTAGGTGATGAGAAGAAAGCATTGAACACTGAAATCTTTATTATTTCAGGACTCCTTTTCCTACAGCATATGCTTACAGAAAATTTTACCAGATAGATCATCACAATTTGTTCCAGTCTTGTGGTGTGTAATCACAGTGCCAGCAAAAAAAAAAGAGATTCTAAGATTTTCAAAGGCAATTTTAAATGTGCTACTTAAAACAAGAACATTAGAAATATAAAGGTGTATTAGTCAAAAGCATACATTTTCCTTCACTAATATAAATGACAGCTCATACAAACATTTTATACTCAAGCTCTTAAAAATCTATTCTAATAACTGAAAGAATGAAGACATTTCTACAGATGCCCTGAAATAACTTCAGTAATACTCCATAATTTCTAGAGTAATGGCAAAATTGATTATCTAATCTCCAAAGTAAGTCCTAACTCTAAAGAGACAGCAATATGTAAACACTTTATCTTGCTGTCAGAGGCTAAAACTGGAGAGCTTTTAGAGTTGTGCTTCAATCCTTCTCCTGCCACCAACAGCAGAGAAATACTATACTAATACCTCACAGGATGTACAACAACAACAACAACAATTCAACTTCTGGTAGAGGCTAATAAGATTGTAACTATGCTTTCATAAAACAAGGAAAAGACAATTTAAGATTTAAATGAAAGTAAGATATTCACAAAGCTGGCATTTACATAAGGGGAACCTCAGATTCCACCAAACATACATGAAGCAGCAATATCATTTTAAAAGCGATAATTATAAAAAAATCAAAAGTAAGTCTGAGAGAGAGAGAGAGAGAAAACATTGCATCATTTGGTTGCAATCAATAGCACTGACTGTGGAGTAAAACAAATAACACTAGCTAAACATCTCACAGTTCCCTAAGGAGATACCTACTGTAAGAACTGTTGGAAAGCAATGGAAGGATAATATTTTGCTTGATTGCTTCTAACTATATCCTTCCAGCAACCTAATATTATTTCATTTGTCACTTTAGTAGAATATGGCTAGCATTTTTCTTCCATAAAGGATTAAAGGTGATGAGGAAGGAATAGTAGCAATTTATCTTATCAGGAAAGAAATTAATATCCTGTGGTTATGTCTGAATCCAGAAACATAAAGTGCTATGCAAGTAAAACACCATTTATAAGAAACAAAGTAGAATACATATTGTGTTAAATTATTAACTTAAAAATTACAGGTAATATTTTATGAGCCTTACCTTCTTTGAGAATTCCATGGCTTTTTGTTCACTTTCTTCAACTTTTGCCTTGTTCACACAAGAATCTATTAATATTAACCAAAAAATGATTAGAAATTATTGCATCATATCTCTAGGCAAATATGGCTGCCAGCCTATAATTCTATGATGTAGACAATCATGTCTGTGTCAATTGCTATTAAGGGGAAATTGGCCTAGACAACACATGAAACATAAACCTCTATAAATTGTCTTTTGCATAACTAACTGAATTCACTGACAAGATTTTTGAGAGAAAAAAAAACCCAGCACAGAAATATAAACTAAATCATCATTGTTTTAAAAGTATTTGATTGTTTTGCAACCTTTATAATTACAGAATTTTTAAAAAATTGTTTTCCAGTTTATTATGGGTGGAGAGGTGCCCAAGAGCCTATGCTTGATTACTGACACTCAAAATGACCCTTAAAATAAGGTTAGAGAAAGTGACAAAATAACATTAATTAATTCAGGTTTCCTAAAAAAAGACTGCACATAAATAATTTCTGATGGAGGCACAATATATTATGTAAAGAAATAAACATTAAGTTTCTGGAATATAATCAAATACTTGAGAGCACAAATAACTGAAGAATATCTTTGGACAACAGTCTCATTACTATACACACAGTCTCTTCCGTACCTAGCAATTCCATACCTATTTTTTAAGAATTTATTTATTTATTTTTACAGAGAAGGGAAGGAGAGAGGGAGAGAAACATCAATGTGTGGTTGCCTCTCACATGCCCTCAACCAAGGGCGCATGGGCTGCAACCCAGGCATGTGACCCGAGTGGGAATCGAACTGATAACCCTCTGGTGAACAGGCCCTCACTCAACCACTGAGCTACACTAGCCAGGGCTCCATATCTACTTATTTATCCACAAGGAATAAAAACATATATCTATAGCAAGACTTGTATATAAATTTTGTAGCAGCGTTATTTATAATATCCTAAAACTAGAAAGAACCCAAATGTCTATCAGTAAGTAAATGTACAAATGTATTAGAGCATATCCCTATACTGGAATATCACTCAGATATATAAAGAAATGAACTATTGCTGCATATAATAGAACAACATAAATGAATCTCAAAATAATTGTGCTGAGTGAAAGAAGCCAGGCAAAAAGGGAGTACATATATGTTTCTAGCTTCATAAAATTTTAGAAAATGAAACTAATCTATTTAAGAGAATGTAAATGAAATGATGCTCAGCATCACTAGCCATCAGAGAGATGAAAATTAAAACCACAATGAAATAGCACTTCACACTGGTCAGAATAGCCATCATAAACAAATCAACAAACAACAAATGTTGGAGAGGTTTTGGAGAAAAGGGAACCCTAGTGCATTGTTGGTGGGAATGTAGACTGTTGCAACCACTATGGAAAACAGTATGGAATCTCCTCAGAAAACTAAAAATGAAACTGCCTTTTGACCCAGCCATTCCACTGCTGGGAATATGCCCTAAGAATCCTATAACACGATACCAAAAAGAACCTGTGCACCCCATTGTTCCTAACAGTGTTATTTACAATAGCCAAGTGCTGGAAGCAGCCTAAGTGCCCATCAGTAAATGAATGGGTCGAAAACCTATGGTACATTTACACAATGGAATACTATGCAGCAGAAAGAAAAGAAGGAGCTCCTATTCTTCGTGACAACATGGATGGAACTGGAGAGCATTATGCTAAGTGAAGTAAGCCTGGCAAACAGCATATGATCTCACTTATAAGTGGATCCTAATCAACAAAACAAATAAATTAGCCTAATAGAACCAGAGACATGGAAATAAAGGACAAACTGACAGTTACCAGGGGGAATGGGAGGGAGATAATGGGGGAAAGAAGGGGAAGGGTCAAGTCAAGGAACCCATGAACAAAGACAAGGGGGGTCAGTGAAGGTTTCAGGGTGGGAGGTGGAATTCAGTGAGGCAGGGGGAAGTGGTAGGGGGGACATGGGGACAACTCTAGTTGAGTAACAATAAAAAACATGAGACAGGAAAAAGAAAAAAAATATGCAGGAATATAATCTGATTTATAAAAGATACAATACACACAAAATTGTGAAATAAGAAGAGATGGTATGGTCTTCAAGTCTAGGTGATCTTAACAGAGAAATTCATAGATTTCCTAGAAATTCTTGAAGCATTTGCAAATTTTTTTGTGAATTCAAGTATATCGTGTGTCCATGTGTGCACATTCTAATGAAAGTTCCACAGCATTCATCAGCTACTGAAAAAGGCCTCTGACCATAAAATATTATGAGCCACACATACATTTGACTTATTTAAATTTACAGGTTGAGGAAACAGAAGCCTAGAGAAGGTAAGTGATTTGTTCAGGTATTCATGGATCTGTGATGCTGACTATTCTTTGTCACTTGATCCCTTCATCTCTCCCCACCCCAATACTCTTAACAGTCCACAATTATAAATTCCTGGCATATAGTATACAAAACAAATGTCTGTGAACACTAAATGATCGAGGCAAAATCAACAGTACACTGTGTGTGCCAACTATAATCTATAATAGATTATAAACCAATATAAATATTTGGAAACAGTCACTTACAACTCAACAATATATGAAAAAATTCTGAGCTTATCAAGCTCAATGAAAAATATGCAGTGAATCCAGTATTCACATTAGTTGCTAAGCAAGGTAAATTGGTACGCTTTCTAAAATCAATTTAGCCTTTAAAATACATAATGTTACTTACAGAAATCAATCCTAAGAAAATAATGAGAAAAGGCCAAATATTTGTGCAAAAAATGTTCACATGAACTTCATTTATAATTGTAAAAACCCAAAAACAATCTAGATGTACAATAGGAAAGAACTAGTGAAGATGATTAAGGAATTCCATAAAATGGAATGTTATACAGACATTCAAAACCACATTTTAAAGGTTAATATGGAAAAATTATCAAAGTTCTATTTAAAAGGTTAACATGGAGAAATTCTCATAATACAAATGCTCCATGAAAAGCCGAGAGAGAAAGAGAGAATGTATTGAGCTAAAATGTGAGGTTGATGGTTTATTCTATCATATAAGTCTCTAGATTGCCTAGAATAAGGAAGCAAGAGTTTTAAAAGCAGAAAAGAATAGCCCTAGCCAGATATCTCAGTTGGTTAGAGAATCATGTCAATACACCAATGTTGCGAATTTAATCCCCAGTCAGGGCACATACAAGAAGTAACCAATCAATGTATCAATAAGTGGAACAACAAACTAGTATCTATATCTCATTAATAAATGAGTAAAAAAGATTATTACATGATAAATAATAATAAAGATTCATATCTGAATATTAATGTGAGCCTGCCCTGTGTTATGAAATGAACAATATATAATTGGCTTTAAATAGCTGCTTTTTTCTTCTTTTAAAGATAGGCAAATGAATTAATCCTTGAATTTTAGCAATAGTGATTTTGATTAGGTATAAGTAAAACTATTCAACTATAAGGTCACATAGCACAGCATATTTCACAAAATAGGTTTCACATTGTCCAGATAGTGCTCCAGAAAATATAACTAATTATCAGTATAGGATGATAAAGGGCCATTTCCTCAGCAATCCAAGTAGATGAATATGATCTCAAATTCTTTTCTAGCTCTAAGTCTATGAAATATAAATTGATCTACTTCAACAGAATTAAAAGGCCTTAAGTTACTGAAATAACCCTGCATTTCTTTTCTCAAACTTTAACATGAATAACATAGGTATATTACTAATTAGACCCTATTGTACATGTAAAGCCAATAAGGTACAACTATAAACAGAATCAAAACACTTCAGAGTTGTGTTTCTAAATACCAAGGCATTCATCTATAATAAAACGATGTTTTTTGTAGAGTATTAATTTTAATCTGAATTCAAGAGTGTTTAGACCTATCAAATACGTTAATATTTTCAATCACAAAGGCAGAACTTTCATGATCATCATAATTAACAATTATTGTGTTTGAGTACCCACAGACACAATAATTTATCAGATATTAGTAGAAGTACAGTATGAATGAGAGCTACCTTTCAAAAATGCCTATTATACAGCAGAGAATAAAATACAATCAAAGCACATTGAGGATTATATTACCTACCTATGAGATGAGTGAAATCAACGTCTAATCTTTGTCTATACTTGAAATCTGGGTCCATACCACTGCAGTGCAGCACTATCTGTGAAACACATTCCTCAATTATTTTGTAATACTGTGGCCTGAAAAATAGAGAAATTATTATTGAATACCTTTTCTACCTATATAAATCAATTTTCAGCATGATAAAAGAACTAAGTCTTTTTCTAGCACTGCTTAAAAATATTTTGAGTCATAACACTTCCTTAAGAAGAAATATGCCTACATTTAAAGATGGTCTGGATGCTATAATGCAGAACCCACTATAATATAATCAACTGCAACCACTTAGTGACTTAATACTCTAGTTGTCAGGGATTTATGCTTGAGTACAAAAACACTACTTATCAACCTTACCTACTTAAACTTAAGCTTTTGTTCCTAGAGTTAATGAAAACAAGTGACCTGTTAGTCCTATATCCATGGACCTAGAAATAGCTCTAGGTCTCTACATGTTCTCAATTTCAATGAGGAATGAGTATCTTCACATCAGGTGGCAAGCAATGTCTTAAATGTACTCCAATAAAAACCAGACTGAGTCACTTATAGTACAGACTATTCCAAAGATCTACTTATGTGCATATTTTAAAAGATCCATTTTATGCAATCATATGAACTTAATATGCATGGCTATAACCTCAATTTGGTCAAAGTATCTAAGGTTTTAAATCATATCATAATTCTGTAATCTATCAAGGTAGTTATGGCCTTAAAAATTACCTTGTGCATACTTCGAAAAATTTTTTAAAGATTTTATTTATTTATTTTTTAGAGTGGGAAGGGAGGGAGAAAGAGAGAGAGAAACATCAATGTTCGGTTGCTGGGAGTCATGGCCTGTAACCCAGGCATGTACCCTGACTGGGAATCGAACCTGCGACACTTTGGTTGGCAGCCCAAGCTCAATCCACTGAGCTACGCCAGCCAGGGCTTCATACTTCAAAATTTTAAAAAGACACTTTCGGCATTAATATTTTGGGAAAAGTGAGTATTGACCAGTGGCTAATAAATTCAAAAGAGAAATATCAGAAAGAAATAGTACTATAGACAAATTATAACATAAACTTCCATAAAATTGTGTGATAATAACTAGCCAACCTACTAAAAGCTTGCTAATGGGGCCAAACACAGTCCCATTGTTCTTATATGACTTTTGTCATAGGACTGGTATCAAGAATAAGAATAAATGATGATATACAGGGTTGGGCAAAAGTAGGTTTACAATTGTAATACAAGTAAATAATACAACTAATAAATAATAATAAAAGGATAAACTGTTTCATGTACTCACAACTGTAAACCTACTTTTCTCCACCCCTGTATATTACACATCTGAGGCTCTTGCAAGTCATCATAGGGTCTAGGGTAAATAACATCGGATTAAAATCAGCCTAGTCAATGACTCTTTGGGTAAACAAGGAAAACAAAATTTTTGTCCTCGAAGACAGGTTAATTATCCGCAGAATATAAGTGTCTGTCACACTTCTACCACACATGGATTTTCTCAGAATGAAAAGGATGTTATATTACAGTAAGTTCTCATTTAATCAAAGTTACTGAGAAATTGAAAGCTTCACACAACTTCCCCAGATAGCTGTGAAAACACAGCGATAGTACCCTTTTAATTACCAAGTTATTTTAGAAAACCATAATCGTATTAAGTGTATTACCATCTTTTCTACTTTAAAAAAAGCATAAAATTTAATATTTTCAATATTGTTCTATGTCTTTGTAACATCATGATGTGTTCATCAGTTATTGTACTGGTCTGGACTATGATAGTTTTCCATGGCTTCAGTACTGTCATTTTTGTTATGACTCTAGCTGACCCCATGGTAGTGTTCCTTTTCCCATTAATCAAGCAAAGTTTGACAAATCAGAAAACCTCAGTTCACAGAATGTCATGCATATTAGACTACCAAGAACAACTAGGAGTCTTCTGAACAGGTAAACATGAGATCATGATCACCACCTGATAGAAAATTTTAGTCACTCAGAAACCTTTCTCTAACTTTACGGCTTTCAGATATGTTCCCAGTTACTAGACTCTAAAACTTCTAACTTTTTGGATTATTCTCATAATCATTTATTTTGAAGAATTACATTAGTAAATACAAAGCTAAAATATTAGCATTATTATTTTCTTAGAAAAGAATACATCTATTACTAAATAAAAACGATAAAATAGAAATAGTAGTAAAACCTTACTTATTAAAATGTATAACAACTTTAAAGTTCTACCATAGACTGTTTAGTGCTGACTCTGTACTACCATTATCTAGCAAAGAAAATTAATCATGAGGTTAATAAAATCTGTGGGGTTCCTTGCTATTAAAAGTCCTGTCATTGGGGTGTCACATTTTTATAAATAAATTCCTCTGGCCCAATTAAAAAGAAATTAACACTGTTTAAAAACTGTTATCTTAAATTGTCAAGCTCATAATTTTTGGCTAGGACCCACCACATTGTTCACTTTCCTTTAATATCTAACTCAAATTGTTCACATAGCTTCTTACCTGACATAATAATCATTTCTGATGAGCAAAAAATGTTGTAGAATGGATAATAAGTAATTTTCAGCAGCTGTGTCCTTCAACATATTATACAGAAGATGGTATACTTCATTCATATCAGTGAAAAAAGTAAGTCAAGGAAAAAAATCAAAGATTCTTCATGAAAGTTTCATTCATTGATTTATACTTTTGCTTGTGTTACTGTTTCTAAGACTTCAACTCTATTATCTTATATTTAAACATTTACACAAAGAAATGTAATCTATAGAATCATGTTAATCTTTTAACAAGACAGTCTGAAATAGTATTTCCAAGACCATTTAACCATCAAAATATTAATGATCAGTCATTCATTATATTTTAAAGTCTGGTACAACTGGAAAAGCTGGTACAACTGGAACACCAATGCTTTTAATAAAAATGGTTTTCTCTTAATCTTTCTGTAGCTGTGATAGAGGCAAGACCTATATACTATTCACAAAAGCCAATGTTCCTTCATTTTCACTGTGACATAGGACAGAAAAAGGTAAAATAGCATTATGTGGACAGATAAAGGATCATAAACCAGTTTTATTTTATACAGATGAAGTAATAAAATCTGAAATCATTATTGTTTGCATTCATTTGTATTTTACTACTTAATGAAAGATGGACAGTAAAGAATAAAACTAGCAACTTTTTTCTTAGTATATATAAAGAATGGTAGAAGTTTAAGTGTTTAATAAACTAGAAAGATTTCAAAACTGGATCTGGAAAATCATTACATTGAAAGTAAAAAGAAAGGTAGAAGAGATGTAATTCAACACCCTAAAAATAACCTGAAATGTCAACATTTTTTCTGAAGCAGGATTAAGTATATGAGGGATCACTTCTTAGACCTCACGTAAGAGTGTTGTGTTGAAGTCTCATAAGGTCATAAGTAGCTACAGGATGGGTCCAAAAATAGCTTTATGGTGAAGTTTAATTATAAGAAAAATGTATTTAAAGCAAGATATTTATTAATTGACATAAAAAGCATTTAATATTCTGGAAGTCACTGTGGACTAGAGTCACTAACAATGGATAAGAAATTATGAGATATTATCCCTTATCACCATGATTTGTTGCATACCTAGTTATCTAGTACTTATGTATAAAGCACTTCGATAGGAACATTGGAGGGAAAATATGAAATAGAACATTTCTGCCCTCTCAAATGGGCATAGATGTTTACATAAATAAGAGAGATGCAAACAAAAGCACTCTAGAAGTTTCAAGAAGGGAAAACTACTTCCAGATTTTTTTAGGGGGAGAGGAGGAAGAAACAAAACATCATAGAACAAAAGAGGTCTAGCTCAAAGGTCATTTTGGTTCTGAAGTATTTCCCAATTTCCCTAAAATCCATAAGTAAGAAATTGAACGGATGTGAAATAAATGGTCAATAATGTAGTGACAACCATCTGTGAGATATAAAATCATTATGTAATAAATGGTTGTCGAAGGAACATTATGTGCCAGTTCTATTTGACTTGAATGCTTCTTATACACAGCTTTGTTATAGTCAGATACCGTCACATTTAAACATTTCTAGGAACAAAAAACATTGTTTTGCTAAGGAACCAAAATATCTGAATTGAGAATAAGACATTTATTTGAACTGAATTATATCTCTAAACCACTGAGTACCATTTAATAAACTAATAAATATATTACCTACAGCCACCTACCTATGAACTCAGTGAACTTTCCCCTCAAAATCTTCATGTGTGAGGTATATTTCCTTAAGACTCTTTGTATTCAAGAACATTACGCAGAATATACCTATAATACAGCAAGCCATTGTGCAGATTTCAATATAGTCTATGTAAATCATCAGGAAAGTCTGACAGTTTATCAACATGAGTTTCAAGGAAAGCATCATAGTGAGGTTCTAATATAAATAAATCGATATAAATTGGGCTTGCAGACAAGAATTTGAATAATGATTCACAAATTCATCCACAAATCCATTTTTCACAACATACAGAAAATGAGTTTTCTAGTTTATCAAAAGGATATTCCATTTCTGCTCGAATGTCACTGAGACGATGTGATAATTCAGTTAGGTCATCCTCCTTGTTCTCATCAAATACTCTCAACTGAATATCAAGCTCATCATTCTCTTTTTCTTTTAGATCCTAATATTTAAACATAAAATTTAACAGATGAATAACAGTTTGACAACAGTATATTTTGGTAATAAAGGCCAGACACTATTATTCATTTATATACACAGAAGTAATTTCAAATATTGACCCACACACTTGGTTTCCTAAAAGAAAGTAAATGCACAATGTTTTTCTACTTTAAAATAAAAGAATCTCATTGCATTCATTGGATTTTCTTTTCATGCCCCAGATTCTGATTATTCACATTAAAAAATTAACAATCACTTTTACAAAGGAAAAAAAACCTAATTGCTAACAACCCAAATTAAATGCTATTGTTTTTGACTAAACTCACTAATCAAAGATTACTAAAGAACTCATGCAGTTGTATCATTCACATATGCCTCTGGCAAAAAAAATACAAATATAGATCAATTGAATTAATAGAGAACAAATACAACGATATACTCAAGCACAACAGTCCCAAGTATGGCGTGAGAAATTGAATAAACAAATTTATTGTAAATGATATTTTGTGACTCAAAGCAAAATGGTATCAGGACTTTTTATCAGGCTGCCTATCTAGCCTCCTCCCCCACCTTTCATTTTTGCTTAGGCAAATCACAAAATACCAACTTGGGCATCAAAGGTTTGTTTTGCAATACATTATAAGCACATGCATTACAAACCTCTGATAATTTTCAAAATAATAATATAAGCAAAATCCTTGGAAGCATGCCACACTGGAGATTGTTGGGCTTAATATATATCACCTGGAATATCTTTTAATATGTGTCCATTAAGGTGCAGCTTTCAAAACCCAATTGTATAATCACAACTGTGGATGCTCAAGGGTGATACCGAAAGTGGGACTAGGATTTTCAGAGCTGAGCTTGAACTCTGAAAGGAAATGCAAGCATGGTGTACTTCAAATTAGGTCAGTAAAACAAAATAGGATGCACTTCTTGTTTGTATTTTTATTCAATAGAACAATTTATAAAATGAAGATGTAATGGCAAATAAGGAAGGCAAACACAAATTTATGGAATTTCTAGATGTTCTTTTTCTAACATTCCCAAACATAACAATTAACTGAAAATATAGCTAAATAGGATAGGAAAATGCTTATTAATATATATCTGTATAATTTCATATAAATATATAACAAGCATATTTATACTAGTTTCCTCTTTAGTAAAAGGTTGCTTTAGGTCTAGCTTTCCACTTTGAAGGGGAATAAAGAAATTCATTGATATGCAAAATTGTCTAACATTGCTCAGTCATATTATCAGGTGATTTCTGAACTGTGTTCAGAAAACAGCACAAGGAAAACACACTCAATATTCTGGTCACTGCATAAATAACCTGCAACACATTTTGGAATATAAACCTTTCATTATTCTCATGTCACATTCTGTTTTCTCTTAGATACTCACTATAAAACTTGAACACATTCAAATATATTTGAGAAATAGAAAAATCCAAGTTAAATACTGCCATTTAATTAGCATCAGAACTTTATAAAACATGGAATCAATATGCATGATTAAAATGTTTTCAGGAAGTAATCAATGTCACCCCAATAAATTAAATAAAAAACAAATAAATAAAATTAAAATATTTTCAGTAAAAATAATTTGTAAAAATTTTAATATAGTTTCAAATTAGGACAATATATTATATTATATATAGTATATGAACATATACAGCATAATATATTAATTTGGACATGCATCAATGCAACATCTTGTAAATATCATTTATTTATAATGTTCCATTAAAAAAATATAAATGCTATATACATCCATACACATACATATATACATAAAACTTCCTATCCAATGTCCAACCTAAAAAGATATATCCATAAATTCTTGATAAAATAATCATTTAATAAATTAATAATGTTTTATGTATCACAAAGATGAGATACATTATAAAAATAAATGAAAATGTGTAACGAAAATTTTATGTTTAAAAATGTAGAATATTATTGTTACTGAATTACACTATTACTAATTATAGGAACTATTATAAATATTTCAATAATGTTTTAAAAGATTTTATTTATTCATTTTCAGAGAGAGGGAAAGGGAGGGAGAAAGAGACAGAGAAACACAGATACATGAGAGAAACATTGATTGGCTGTCTCTCACCGACCCCTAACCAGGTACCCAGCCACCCACAGCCCAGGCATGTGCCCCGACAGGGAACTGAACCAGGGACCTTTCAGTTTGCAGGCCAGTGCTTAATCCACTGAGTCACACCAGCCAGGGCACATTTCAGTTATTTTTCTAAACAAATTTTCTGTATAGATATGGAATGCTTTAGCAGATTTTCTGAAACCCATAATTCTCTATAATACAGTGTACTCTTAAGGAAATCAAAGTCTATTACCAATACATGGCAGACTGCCAGTCAAGCAATCAAATTAGAGTCATCAAAAGAATAAGGAAGGGTTTGTCAGTCTTTTAAAAGAAATTAAGAATGCTTGTTACCTATAGATACAACTTCTTACTATCATGTTCCTTCTCATATATGATTTACCTAATATTTTCCTACTTTAAAGAAGAGGCACAGTCAGACTTCATAAGAAATCAATGTAAGTTAACTACACAGCAAAACTATTTCAAAAATCACTGTGTAGTATGTAATGACTCATTCATTCCAAATTACTAAAGCAAATTTATGAAAACAGAATTTTCCACTTTAAATACTATAATTTATCCATAGAGATGGGAGAATTTTGAAAATTTTTTTGCAGAATATTAATTAAAATAATTGTACTTTAGGAGTCTCATAATTATATGAAAAAAGTTTTACTATACTATAATATTATGATGGTCACAGGGTTACTGAAATACTGAGAACTATTCTTACCTATCACTTAATGATTCCAAATAATAATAATTTTTGATCCATATACCAACTACTAATATTACCATAGCCACATCTAATTAGCTGTTATATCCTAAAGTATTAGGGACATCCCCTTGTTATAACAAGGTATAAAATAATAAAAAACAAGAAAGGTTATTAAAGACTCATCCATTATTATATTTTAAGTATCACTGCATGTGTAAAATATGTTCATTATTATGAATTCTAGTGATTTAAATGTATATATTTAGTAAGTTAATAGTGAGTTAATAAGATAGTTGACATGTTAACTATATTTAATATATGTTAAAGCATGACCAGTATGGTGTTTGCTCCATATTGTGATAATAAAACTGTAACAACAACAGCAGCAGCAGTGAAATCTATGTTAATAAAGAATAAATCTCTAATGTCAGGCTCTGCCTGAATTCATATTATCTTCTATATCAGGAATACCTAAGAATGGTTTTTTTTTCAAAATAAATATCTACTCCCCACCCTCAATAATATCTTGATAGTCTCTTTTTACCAGGACATGACCATATCATGCTTGAGAACTAGAGCCATGTTATACTCCATTGTTTCAGGGAGGGAAAAAAAAACCCTGAAAATCCTTAGAGGTTCTATTCCAAAACTTTAAGAAACAGAAACATGACACCTGCCACATTTCTCCTGCTTCAGAATCACTGAGATCTGAGAAGCAGAGGATATTAAAGAAATGTGGTACTTAAAGAAAAATATAACTGGAAGCATATTTTAAGAATATATATAATTAAGAAGCACATGTGCCACAAGAGGCTTTATATACGGCTATAGGACAAATGGTAAAGTGTAGCTGAGAAACACTGATGCAAAATCTTAGCTGTCACTGTAATAAAAAAAATAACATACTATGAGACCACTGAACCCAGAAGAAATTAAGACACCCACACAGAAGTTCAAAGGATAAATGCAAAAGCTACCATACATATTCTTTCTGAAAATGAGGACTTAAGTAAATTAAAATGAGAGTCACAGCTTTCTTGATCAGCCATTCAATAGTGTAAGGGAGAAAAGTGGATGTTCAATTATAAATAGAGAGGAATAAAAGATAAAAGGGTAATAGTAAAAACTAAGGCAGAAAACATGACATATTAGTAAATGAGAAGAGGATGCTAAGGAGCCCCTATACCCAACAAGTGCCCAAAGACATTACTACCACTCTCCCAGAAACAGAAGAATGACCCTTGGAGGACAAAGAACAAAACAAATCAGTAGGCAACTGAAAAGCAAACTAGAATGAAGACTATACATTATTTCTAGCTATGAAGGCCAAAGACATTTCATGAACAAATATTTGAGACAAAACAAGAATAAATGTGTTGCACACACTACAACTAATTATATAATATGCCTATGTTAACTGCACACTGAACCCTCCCAATAGGTCACTTAAAATGTTGCTTTGATTCACTGCAACCAATTCCTTCATTGTTGGGACTTCCAGCCATGAGGACGCATAGGTAGAAATACATTGCCTCCTCATACAACCAAAAGAAGGACAGCAACAAATTTAGAAACAAATAACAACCAGAACTACCAGAAAATCGAACTCTATGGAAGTCCGACAACCAAGGAGTAAAAAGAAAGACTCATCCAGACCAGTAGGAGTGGCGCAGAGAAGCAGCTGGGGTGGAGAGGATCTGCAGCAAGGTGGTGGCTAGCAGACAGGCATTCCCATATTTGTGTGCAGATAAACTGGGAGGAACAACTGTGGAGCAATGTAGACTTTGCAACCCATGGTTCCAGCACTAGGAAATAAAGCCTCAAAAACTCTAGCTGTAAAAACCTGTCAGGGCTGCAGGGGCAGGAGAAACTCCCAGCCCTAAAGGAAAGAGTTCCTTGGAGAGATCCAAAGGATCCTAACGTACACAAACCCACCCACCCCAGAAACAGCACCAAAAGGGCCCAATCTGCTTGTGGGTAGCAGGGAAGTGACTGAAAGTCAGCAGAAAGCAGAGAGCAGAGCTAGTGGCATTGTTGCCTCTTGGACCCCTCCCCCACAGACAGTGACACAACACAGTAATGTGGGTTTCCCCACCCCGGGGGAACACCTAAGTCTCTGCCGCTTACTACATAACAGGTGTGCCAAGACAAAAAATTATGGCCCAAATGAAAGAACTGGTCAAAGATCCAAAAATAGAACGAAACGATAAAGACATAGCCAACCTATAAGATTCAGAGTTCAAAACAGTGGTAAAAAGGATGCTCACAGAAATTATTGAGTATGGTCACAAAATAGAGGAAAAAGTGAAGGCTATGAAAAGTGAATTAAAGGAAAATGTACAGGGAACCAACAGTGATGAGAAGGAAACCAGGATTGAAATCAGTGGTTTGGAACAGAAGGAAAAAATAAACATTCAACCAGAACAGAATGAAGAAACAAGAATTCAACACAATGAAGAGAGGCTTAGGAACCTCCAGGACAACCTTAAATGTTCCAACATCCAAATCCTAAGGATGCCAGAACAAGAAGAACAAGAGCAAGAAACTGAAAGCTTATTTGACCAAACAATGAAGGAGAATTTCTCCAATCTGGCAAAGGAAATAGACTTCTAGGAAGACGAGGAAGCCAAGAGAGTCCCAAAGAATTTGGAACCAAGGAAGCACACATTGAGGCAACTCATAATTACATTAGCCAAGACTAAAGATAAGGAGAGGATCTTAAAAGCAGTAACAGGAAAGGAGACAGTTACCTACAAAGGAGTTCCCATAACACTGTTAGCTGATTTCTCAAAACAACAACAACAACAACAACAACAACAACAACAACAAAAACCTTGCAGGCAAGAAGGGACTGGAAAGGAGTGTTCGAAGTCATAAAAGGCAAGGACCTACAGCCAAGATTGCTCTATCCAGCAAAACTTTCATTTAGAATGGAAGAACAGATAAAGTGCTTCCCAGATAAGGTCAGGTTAAAGGAATCCATCATCACCAAGCCCTTATTATATGAAATATTAATGGGATTTATCTAAGAAAAAGAAGATGATCAAAAATATGAACAGTAAAATGACAACAAACTCACAACTATCAACAACTCAACCTAAAAAGCAAAAACTAAGCAAACAACTAGAACAGAATTCCTACAGAATCACAGAAATGGAGATCACATGGAGGGTTAATAGTGGGGAGGGGGAGAAGGAAGAATGGGGGAAAGGTACAGGGAATAAGAAGCATAAATGGTAGGTACAAAATAGATAGGGGGAGATTACTAGTACAGGACATGGAGAAGCCAAAGAACTTCTATGTATGACCCATGGAGATGAACTACGGTGGGGGAAGCTAGTGGGAGAGGAGTTGCAGGGCAGAGAGGAATAAAGGGGAGAAAAAAAAACTGGGATGACTATAGTAGTATGATCAATAAAATATACTTAAAATCAATAAATGAAATGCATATTTTTAAAAAATAAAAAAATTCCTTGGTCATTAAATTCATGGGTGAAAGAACCAACCCAAGTGGAACTGATATAGAAATTTCTAAAATAGACCCAATCATACATCTGATTAAAATCGTTGTTAATAGAACCAGTCATCCATTTTATGATGATGACTTCCAACTACTTTCAGTTAAGACACAAAAGGAACTGACCCATGCTACACACTTCTGCTTCATTAGGAATTTTCCCTGATTAAGCTATTTCTGGTTTCTAGAATACTAAGTCTAACATACATGTTCATTGACATTTCTTTTGTGTTTCTCTTTCCTCAGGCTGTTTTTCCTCTCTTATTTTTATTTTTTGTTTCTCATGTGTGACCTGAGTACCTTAAATGAACAGACTAGTGAGATTTTACTTGTTTCCTTTAACAATACTATTGTGTGAATCAAAGTCTCTCTTCTTCAGTTAACATACTAAATAAAATATAAAATCACTGCTCTTGTGTTTGTATTTAAAGAACAAGTTTGTTCATTTATCTCAGATCAAGCCTATAACATTATTTGAAAAATGCTTTTTGTTTATTTCTTTTTGTTTATTTTATTTTATTCATTGTATTGTTACAGTTGTCTCAATTGTTACCCTTTTGCCCACCTCCTCCCAGTACCCCTATTCCCTCCACCAATCTCTACCTCCTTAGTTCATGTTCATGGGTCACACATGTAAGTTCTTTGGCTTCTTAAAATTGGAGTAAAATATTCACATTCAAAAAATAAAATTGTTTTTCTTTAGAAAAGTTCCTAGAGTACTCTAACAAGAATAAAAATCTTAAGAAATATATCCAGAACATACTAATCGAAATTCTATGCATACTTGTACAGAATATAAATAAAATCAATCTAAGTTATTAAAGAAAAGGGAAAAAAAATAAAAATTGAAACTGCAGAAAAAGTACTCTTTTATGTTCTAAATATTTACATTGAAAGAAAAGAAGTTCCCTTTTCATTTCAAGAATTAAAAAGCATTCTGGATACATTACCAGTTGGATAAAAGACTGATATTACTGCAATAGAAAAAAGTTTAAAAAATGCTTAATGCTTTACAAAAGAAAATATCAAGGCACATTTCTTTACTCTGTTGCAACTATTTTCATCTAGAGAAAGAAAAATGTAAAAGCTCATCAGCATGAATAGTATGTACACTCAACTTACTGGTAACATGGTTTTTAGTCCCGAGCGGAGGAATTCATTCCTTAAATGTATTCGAAAATCAAGCTCATATGGAGAAGTGACAAGGGCATTTATGAACTGCATACAGGCCACCTGCAATTAGACAGCAAACCTTAGTTTTAAAAATTATTTAAAGAAACATTTAATGAATGTATTCAGACAATTTTTTTCCATTTACTAAAGGCATGAATGCATATATTATGAAAATAAGAAATGTAAACATTTATACAAGTTTAAGGATGATTATGATTTTAAAGTATAAATGACAAAATGATAATATAATTTTGGTGTGCAGAATAACTGTAATGAAGATATGATGGATGGTCAAGTACTCCATGATCTGCTGAACAATATGAAGGAATATTTAACACTTTCCCAAGAAACACAAAGTCCCAAAAATAAGCAAATAGAGCCCTTTAAAATGATCATGAAATGTATCTTACATATCCAGCTGTCCTCAGAGGACACTTAGCCTGAATTTTATATGGTTATAAACACTTTTCTAAAATAAATCAAATAAAGTTATAAAAGTACTATACTATTAAACAGGCAACAGTGATAACTCAGAGAAATGATTACGTTGATTTATACTATTTCTATCCTATTATTAGAATGGATTTACACAAAATTTAGAGTATTAAAATATATTATTAAGATAAATTAATTTATTATGTATAAGAATGAATTAAATGAATTAAGATAAACTAGAAGGTACTGTGATACCAGTAACGATGTGCATGCATGATAAAGTAAATATAAGGCCTTTTGTTTAAGTGAAGGTGCTTCATTAATTATATTGACACTGGAAAATGGATTTTGCTTTTCTTACCTTCTGCTATTGAAGTTCTCTACTATGAAAGGGGAATTATTTTCTGGTAATTGCAAGCTAAAAGGTAATTATCAAAATGCAAATTGCCAGGTGTTCCATACATTATTTGTTAATAGCATTTCTAGAAAATGCCTCTCAAGTGTATAGCCACTAATAGTTTAACTGAAGAGCTGAACGTTTAAATTGATTATTTTTAAAGTATGTGATGACTAGTGGAGTGGCCAAAGAGCTGAACAACTGCAAGAGGACTCCCAGAAAATACCAGATTTTGTAAAGATGTTTAGTATATATAGAAGAGGACACAAATAAATCAATAGTTGGTATGGGCTCTACTCTATCTGCTTAGTGTGCCCGACACCCTGAGGCTTCCTCTTCTGGGCTGGGACCCTGACCTCTGTCTTCTCCCCTCTTTGGTTCCCCATGTACCAATACAGCTGTACCTGAATATACCTACTACTAAATGTCCCACAAGGACCCCAGACTGACCAGATAACCCTCTAATCCCTAAACCTCCTTTTCTCCTCTGAGTGACAACCAATCTTCTGAAGCTGCCAAGATTAAGTAGGCATAAAGACCAGGAATTGACAAACTACAGGCTATGGGTGAACTGTAGCCTACAGGCCTAATCTGGTGTGGTGCCTCCTTGTGTCAATAAAGTTTTATTACCTTGCACAAATATTATGGAATAAAAACATTAGCAAAATATATATATTTCAAATGTATTTTTACTTTACTTGTCCAGACCTATTATGATGATAATTATTTTTTCAAGTACAGTGAAAAGATTAAAAGGTATATTGCTTTTATTTTTACAATTATATCTTATGCATTTAAGATGATTCTTTGAGTGATAAGCACATTTACCTCACATCCAGGTTCAAAAATCAAAAGTTAAATGCTTTATAGGAGATTGCAGGAGTTGTTTCTAACATTACTAGATGTCAAAATGATAATTGAACAATGCAGTCTATTCCCTATGAATGCTCAAATGTCAAGCTAAAACACATACAACTGACTGAATATTTGCCATAGATGTGGCATTATTTTTTTTTTCATCCTATCCTTTTTTATTGTTGTTATATCACAATTGTCCCAATTTTTCCCCCATTGCTCTCCCCAGCCCCACACACCCCACACTTGGTATTACTTTAAAGACATAGCACATAAATTATTATACTTATGCCTTAATAGATGCATAACTCTCCTATTAACAATAAAAACTGAAGTCTTTATAGTTACAATAGGCTGAGACATATTTGTATATTCTACATGAACATAGCTATATTGGAGTAATCCTTGTTATGTTACAACTATCACATGACTGAACAAGCCTAAGTACATGTCCAATCCAGAATTAATAGAGAGAAAAGTTACCATCTGCTAGGACTGTTTTTGCCAAAAGAAATTGTAACTCAATGGTTTGTATTAATACCCTACAAGTAAAGAGAACACTTCCATAAGAAACTAGTTAATGAGTCTTAGAATTGTACCTTTATACAAATAAAAGTATTTAGATCAGGAGATGATAAACATAGAAAAAGTCAATTAAATTAATGAATGTATCAATATCAAAATATCATAACTTCACATTTAATAAGATAAATGTTGCAATGCTATTAAAACTTTACATATAATGTATGAATAAATAACTTAATAAAGAAGCTGCACCCCTTGACTATAGTATAAAATAATTAGGAAACAGTTAATTCAGTAGTTAAACAGATAATGGCAATGGTTTATCAATGTACTATTTATTGTTTATCAAATTGTAAGAGATACCTAATTAATTATAAATAACATAAGAGAAATAGTCATACTATCATGTCATTTTACAGCATAATCTGCTAAAGCAATGCTCTTTTACAAAAATATTTATGTTATATAAATGTGGAGAACAATTGTCATCCTAATTATCTCTATTCCTTTATAATACTACAAAATTACTGCTCTTTTCACAGGACAAGAACAAAAGCAAAATAATTGTCACTAGTTATAACTATAAAATTAAATTTTAAAAATGTAATTGGCTTAAAGGGCAGAAAATAACATTAAGAATAAATGTGAAATACCCATTGTGTGAGTTCTGAATTTATAGATAAACACAAACCCACAAACCATTATCACTGTTATTATTGTTGTCATGACTAGCTACCAGACAGTATTAGGTGCTTTATATAACTCACCATCCAAACTCATCCTCAGAAAAATCATACAAGATAAGTTGCTCTTATCCTTGATGAAGCTGAGGCTCAAAACAAATAACTTACACAAGGTCATACTGCAAAAAGGAAAGTCATGATTTTTTTAAGATAATTTACTTATTTATTTTTAGAAAGGGATAGGGAGGAAGAAAGAGACGGAGAAGCATCAATATCTGGTTGCTTCTCATGTACCCCCTACTGGGGACCTAGACTGCAACCCAGGCCATATGTGCCCTGACTGGGAATCAAAGCCGCAACCCTTTGGTTCGCAGGCCAGCACTCAATCCACTGAGCTACTCCAGCCAGGGTAGGGAACTCATGATTCTAAACCATATCACTTTACTGCAAATATGGAGTAATTTCTAGTACATTCTAGATGATTCATTTACTCCATTCATAGATTCATATGACAAAAGTTTATTAAGGATCAGTAAGATAATAAAATTTAACTAGTGCATATATAATACACTGGGAATATCTAGCTTTGAAATTAAAGATTAATGAGAAAAACATACAACTATTTTAAAAAGATGTTATCTAGAATATAAAAGGGTTATATTATATGCCAATTATAACAATAAAAATTAAATGGCTATCATGGAACACAAAAACATTTTTTTAAAAGTGAGGTACAAAGAGATTCATATGTGTGTGTATACATATATATACATATCTGTGTGTGTGTGTATATATGTGTATGTATATATATATATATATATATATATATATATATATATATATAAAACAATGAACTATGGGCGTCATTCCATTATCCAAAATAATGGTTTCTCACTCTCCTTTACTTACTACCACCCCACCCCTTAAGATACATGCATACACACAAAACTGAGCCATGCTGCTCAATAGAGAGCCATGAGTCATAATTTAAATTTAACTTAATTACAATTAAATAAAGTTAAAAATCCTGTTGCTTGGTCTCACTGATCACTGCTCAAGTGTTCAAGAGCCACATGTGGCTAGTGACTACCATATTGGACAGTACGAATAAAGAACAATGCAGAAACTTTGACTGGATAGCACTGCATTGGAGACTTTAAAGAATAAAGTCTTCTGGCCTACTGTGAAAAACCTAAGCTTTAAAGAGTACAGTACAAAACTAAATAATGAGAGGTTTCAAAACTGGTATGCTCGAATTTCAAGTATATAAACCTTTAAGAGCATAATTGAACCTTTCAATTTCTTTTCAAAAAAATATTCAACTTTGGAGATAGATACTAAGAATCACAGGATTTTGAAGCAATAGAGAGCATAAAATACTTTGGTCCTAAATGTTCATTTAATGTTTCTTTATTTAAAGAAATTGAAAACCTAGAAAGATTAGGTAATTTGCCCAAGATCACACAGCTAATAATAAATCCAAAGGTGATTAGAACTCGAGCTGCATAACTTTTAGTCTTGGATCCTTTCTGCCACACTACAATGTACAAATCTGGCATTGCTGAACAGCAATTTTCCTTGGAGTAGAGAAAGAAAACAAGCACCCTTTAATTGAATATCACCAAGTCCATTATCCAGATTCCTTCTGTTGCTTAGCTTCTTTATAATGCCTCTAAGTTCAAAGTGGTCTTCTCTATCTGTTTCTTTTAAATACAGCTTCCATGAAAATAAAAACTTTAAAACCACAGGAAATCAGTGAATTTTCTCCATTACTAATAAATGTAATAGCCTAGGACTACAATTCTGATTTTAAACCAGTAGAAACAAGTAGTTTGTGTATTTGCATTTTTATTCAGTAATCTCCTTACATCATAAGGAGATTTCTACGATATCTATATTAGCTATTAAGCATATGCATAAACACATATAGATAAAAACCACCAAATCAGTGCCTGTGATAAAACATCCAATAATTTGTGCCATAAATAAGTATGTACTAAACTCAATTACTATCAGTTTTTCTACCACATTATAATCCTTCCTTTACTATAATAGCACATTTTCTTTCTACAATAATCATCTGCAGTCTTTAATCATAGGCTATTACTATCTTCACCCTGGGCCGTGGGTGTGTGGTATGGAGTGTGGCATAGAGAGTGGAATAT